ACCGTCGACCAAGAGGCCAGTATGCGCCATACAGGAATAAGGTAAAAACATCTGCTTTCGAAAGAGAGGAATATTTTTTTCTGCGATGTTGTAAATGGTGCTTTGTAGCAAAAGTATTCTAAAATTGCTGTTGCAACGGACATCACAAACCAGAGACGTTTTGTTAATGCAGAGAGCTAAAAGTTACAATCTTAACATCCTCACAGAAAAACATATTTCTGAGTGATGCATCAGTTTAGTTAGAACTACAGGTTAATAAACATGTTTTTTCCTGCGGTGTGCTGTCGAGACTTTGTCGTGAATTTCACACGTTAGTGTGTTTCGCTGTACATATTTGGGATATCTTTCAGAATACGGGTGAATAGGTCGCATTGAAAGTTCTGCTTGAGTTTACTCCAATGAACTAACTTTTCAGTCCATTTCAGTTCAGTCGGTACTGTCTGTCTTCAAATTTCCCGTTAAATATTTTAAGTTTATTTGCATTTTATACCTGATCACATGGTATCAAACTTCTGTCCCTTCATTTTTTTTGTAACGTTCATCATATCGCTTAAAACGTCATTCACTGTATTCATAAATTTGAAATCAAACCCTGGAAAACAGTCGAATGATCAAAACGTCTGGTATTTGTTAAGGATTCTGTTCGACTTTTCCAGTTTCTAAAGTGCGAACTCTTGCAGGTTGCTCAACCTCAAAGCGAAACTGCTTATGGTGAATTTTGTCAGATGCTGCTGCGAAACAGACGTCGACGTGAAGTCAGAAAGTCTTAAAAACCTATATAACGGCGCTCTGTGCAATGAACCGTTGTTTAACCGAGAACAGCACTTCTTTAGGGAATACTACGACCTGCTGGCGCGGCACATGCAAATTGAAGTTAATTTAAAATGTATTTTGCTACTTAAAGTTGATTAATGAAATAAATAATCTTAGGTAGCCGATGGTAAAAGGTTTGCATTGAAGAAGGAGGTCGCCGCTCCACCGATGGAAGATTTCCTTCTAGACAAACCCCTGCTGTCCACCTTACATTACTGCTGTCTCTATCACTACCACGATCCCATGGTTGGTATGCAGCGCTCCGTTTTGCTGCT